CAGGACACTCGAGTTCTTCCACTCCAACCTTTACACACCATGTCTTCATGGAGCTCGCTCTGTGCACAGGGGCATCGTCATGCTGGAACAGGTTTGGGCCTCTTAGTTCCAGTGAAGGGTATTTGTAAAAATACAGCATACAAAGATATTCTATACAATTGTGTGCCTACAACTTTATGATAACGGTTTGGGGAAGAACCACATATGGGTAAAAAAAAAAAAAAAGCAGTATCACACTCACAATCAAGCTGCTGTAGTGAATATCAGCTCGGCTGTGAAACATTAAATGCTGTGTCTGAGACTTTTTTGTTCATTTGTTTTGCTTGTTTCTGTTTTTGCCAGTGAAATCAGACTATATTTTGTTTTTAATGGGCTGTATTACTTAATCTGTTACTTACATTAATGTTATACAAACGTTTAATTTTTGGACAATTTATCTTTGAAAACCTAAAATTTTCTCTTTTCTGCTGACAGTAACGCACAGCACATAAATATTTATATACAGTGGCTTGCAAAAGAATTCAGCCACCCTGAAATTGGTCAGATTTGTGTGAATAACAAATAATAAATACAGTATTTTTAGTGCAAACACATGTTCTTTTAGAGTGAATTTTCAAAGCACAAAAGCAAGACAGACGCCGGTGAAGGATGCCACAGTGACGCCAGCAGTCACTCTGAAGGACTTACACAACGTACAGTGCCTGAGAGTGAATGTGCAACCGGATGGCCATTTCAAGACATCAGCATAATTGAGGACTGTATGGGAAGATGGCTAGAAAGAAACCATTGCACAAGAAGAGTCTTATGAAAGCACAAGTGATCCAGTGAAGATGTGTTTTTTTTTTTGGTGTGATAAGGCCTAGATCAAGATATGGTATTTGGGCAAGTTTCAAAGTGCTATGTGTTGTGCAAACCTAACACAGGTCATACCATAACTAACACCATCCCTACAATGAAATGTGGTGGTGGCGGCATTTTTATTCCTGCTACAGTCTGCTAAAAACAAACAAATAAACAAACAAAAACTAAAGCTTCGGAGAAACTTCACCTTTCAGTAGGACATTCTAGGCACAAGGACAAAGCAATGCAGGAGTGGTTAAAAAACACAAAGGTGAATGTTCTATAGTGGCTAAGTCAAAGTCCAGATCTGGAAATTGCAGTCAACGACCGACTAACTTGAAGCCCCTGGAGCAAACCTGCCAGGAAGAATGGGCAAAGTCATTCTTTAACTGTCTGCAAAGCTGGTAGCAACTTACACCAACGGACTTACAGCTGTTATTGAAGCAAGGTGGTTCTACCAAGTCTGAAGGGGTTGAATACTTATTTTAGTTTTTCATTTGTTTAAAGATCTGCTGCCAAGTAATGGATTTTGACTTTAAAAATTGATTTTAAGAGCAGATTGATTTGCAAGAAAATTACTGACTGGAACAATCTGAGTAAGTGTCATTTCTAATCCAGATGAATCTGCTGACTTTTAAGGGGGCTGAATACTTTTGCAAGGCACTGCAAAAGTTGCACCCTATTGTACATTTCCATGAAATGGTAATTAGTGTAACATTTACCATATAAGGTATGAATGCGAGAACACTAAATAATCTGCTGACGCTGAATAATAACTGCTGTATTCACTACTTATTAGTTATACGTAATAATAATGTATGGCCCCTGGTGCAAAAGTGAAGCTACACAGATAAGCAGTGTAACAGAGAAGAAGATTGTGTTCGATAAGGTTGCATTTAGTCTTAAATGTTTAATTACATTGCAAGCTCTTCTGCAGAAGTTCAGATGCTGTAAGAGATTTGGTTTCATCAGCAGGATTCGTCTCCGGTTTGTATGTTATATCTTAAAACATGTTTGAGCGTTTGGTGATAACGATGGAGGAGGGTCAGAGATGGTGCTTGAGATGGTGTCTGGTCTGACCGTGAACTTTATTTCCAATTCACTATCATTCCCAGCTATTGACGTATGGACAGAAACCTTTAGCGTCACTGCATACGTGCAGAAGGGTGACGCTGGCATCAGTTTTTTGACGCACTTGGTAATCATATTGTTATCAATAAAATGCATTTGCTTTATCTGTCCAATGCAAAAAGGCAAAAGCATTTACTGGCTTTTTACAGATGAACCTTGTGCTACAAAAAGTGTGATGTAGAAAGGAGAATGAACGAACAAAATACAGTCCATAGTAAAGAATAACACTTGTGATTTTCTATTCACGCTGTTATTCACGCTGCTAGATCCATCAGCAGAGGGTCATAATATTATAATTATGATATTTCTCAGTAGGCAACCGAGTAGTGCTTGTTTGTGGAAGTCTCTTCGTTAATGTTATTTCATTTTATTTTTTTTGCAGGCTATCATGTTAGCTGATCAAAAAACAGCAGTTTTAAGGAAACTGACTGTGTCTACAAGAGACTCATAGCTTTATTAAATTCTATCGCCTATTCCTAAGAATAAGATACTGATTTAAAAAAATATATTATTTTTCACCAAATGAGCAATTGTAAACAAAATTCACTGCAAACACAACTGGAAAACCCTAAGTCATGTGGTAACGTGGTAGAGTAACGTGGGTATTTTCAAAATTTCAAAACACTACACTAAATTAACTTCAATCCAGAGGACAAAGTAATAAATTTGACTTATAGTGAATCTTGTCCTAAGCGCTTCCTCAGTTCTAATTAATGATGAACACCCCGGATGCCAATTCTATCAGATAATGATTCCAGTAGCAGTATCATGAGACATTTCCTGTTTATTTTAGTACCCTTTTCGACTGAATGCATTCAGACAGATTCTGTTTGTTTTTTCACTTGCTGTTTGATATACTCCGGGGACTTTTTGCCCGGGGATGTTAAGAAAAATCTCTGCAAATGCTGTGTCACAAGCTGAATTTGCCCAGGCAAATATGTCATCTCTTGCCCACACACACACACACACACACACACACAAAGCAGGTTAGCCACATTTGTCTTCACAAACTCTTTGATGTGTATTTGATGAAGACATGGTGTGTTATTTGGTGAGCATTCAGTTTCTGCTATTTTAACTGCCAAAATTAGCCTTGTTAGCCTGTCTTTAACTAGCTAATTTGGTGGTGATAGATGATGTTATCCGCTGGAGGTTTGTCCACAGGGGCAGACGGTGTAGAGCCCTACTTTATATACTATATCAGCTATTCAGCAAATGTTAATCTTCATAAAAATGTCCCCTATTTAGCTGTACAGAGTTATCATTGCACCTAGTGGTCAAAAATTGGAACTAAATAAGCTAATAAAAAAATCATTGGAATTAAATATAACACAAGTTCGAAAACAAAGGGTAGGTGCACTCAGTGTCTAAAAGTGTCTCAGTCTTCCAAAGTTTGGATTTATTTTTAGTTATTCGGAGATGTAGTTGGGCTGACAACCTGACAACCCTGCTTTGTCTCGCAAATGGGAAACACACCAGCTCTATGGAACACAGTTCAATTGAAGTACGTCCAAAACCACTCAAAATGAGCTGCTAGACTGTACGCTGGATGACTGTATGCTGTCGAATCTCAGCTGATTATTACAGTAAAATTTCATTCGATGGTAGCCTATAGTACATCTCAAGTGGGATAGCCTCTCTACTTCCTTATGTTCGAGGCTGTTATGTTTTCAGTGTCATCCTGCAACTTCAAAACCGATGCTGCCATTGTTGATGTTATCTAAAGTCTGATGCAAGCTACCATTAGACACCAAACTCAATAATTTTAGATAACATTCCTGGAAAAGTAACAGCAAATTATGAAATCAACACTTAGTGCTGGTAAAAAGCACACTAATGTTTGCCGTCTAATAGTTAACCAAGCTTACTCTGCACCTCATTTTATTTCACATAATGCTCAAAGGTCATTTTGTATGTAACATTATGGTATCTATCTTTTTCTTTTTTTGAAACCACTCGTTTTTAACAGCTTTGTGTTCCATCCAAAGAGGTTGCAGCAGCTGACCCAAATGCTGGATTATCAGCTTTCTTATGGAAATTTAAAAAAAAAAAAAAAAATGTAAATGTGATGTAACTGTTATGGTCACCATGGACAATTCCTCCCAAGGCCACCAGAGGGCACCCTCACTCACCTTTTGAATCTCTTCTTTTGTTGTGTGCTCCATTTCCTTTCCTGATTTTGCACACCTGTTTTGTATTTCCCTGTTAGTTACGCTGTTTAAGTTCTGTGTTTTCCCTCTATATTGCTGGAGCGTTATGCTTATGTCTGTGTCTGTGTTTGCGTGCACGGTTAGATTTCAGTTACTGTTTGCACTGTGAATAGCTCTTGTTTTCAAGTCCAAGCTTTCTTTGCCTTGCTGTGCCTATTATTAGCCTAGGCCTTTGTTTCTTCTAGTATTTTTGGTTCTTTCCCAGTCCTTGCTTGTTTCTTCGTTGCTTTTTTTTTGTTCATTGCAGAGATTCTGCATATGGACTCTCCGCATTACAGTAACAGCAACCGAGTGTAACTTTTCAGAGCAGATGGATGCAGGTGCTGGCTTTTCTTTATTAAACAAAACACAAACTAAGTGAAGACAGTCAAAGCAAGGATCAAAATGCTGGTGAAATGAAAACTAGGTACAAGACAAGGATACAACAGACAGCAGCTGTAACAGTCTTACTCACAGCAACGGAAGCTGAGCACCTAAGGAGTGAAAACACAGAACGTACAGGAAAACTAATCAAGCAGGAGACAAGATGTGTGAGAAGACACAGGAATTCAGTTGTTCGAAACTATGTAGGAGGCTGCCCTCTGGTGGCTTGATGGTGAACTGTCTATGGTGGATGTGACATCGAGTAGTTAAGTGAAGTGAAGTGACGTGTGAAGTGAAGTATGGTGACCCATACTCGGAATTTGTGCTCTGCATTTAACCCATCCAAGTGCGCACACACACACACACACACACACACACACACAGGGCCAGTTGGGGGTCCGGTGCCTTGCTCAAGGGTCTTACCTCAGTCGTGGTATTGAGGGTGGAATCAATCGCTGCCGGACCTGAGACTCGAACCCACGACCTTCGGGTTACAAGTCTGACTGTCTAACCATTAGCGCCACCACTGCCCCTAAAAGTAGTGCGTCTCCCCGTCGGGGAATCGAACCCCGGTCTTCCGCGTGACAGGCGGAGATACTGTCCACTATACTAACGAGGATGGGATAACTGAGGCAGCCCAGTCATCGGGTTCTGTAAAACAATCCAGCATTTTTAGAGTGCAATATTAATTAATACATAATTATATGCTTATATAATTTTAATATTGTATAAATTAATAATGGTATATATTATATTTCATTAAATATAATGAATATGATTAATTATATTTCATTGAAATATTTGTTCATTTCTCCATTTGTCAAATTGTTGTTTGTCAAGTATCATTAATTCCATTTTATTTTAAGTGTTAAGTATTTGCTAATGCATGAATGAAGACTTTAGTCAACATAAATACAATTTGCAAGTAAGTACCATAGATATTAATAAGTTGTTCAGCAGTGTTTAGTTCCTATTAATGATTTTTAAGTCAGTGTAAGTATGAATGTAAGTATGAATGTAAGCATGAATATCCTGTATCATTCAGGAGATTTTTAAGGGGATTGTCCTGTATCATTCAGGAGCAGTAACTTTTTTAACTTTCACAGAAAATTATCTGGCAATTTTAATCGCACTCGTTTCAACAATTTCATTTGTTTTCCAACAATAGTATCGGATAACACATCATACAATGTGTCACATAAACCCATAGGTTTAGCAAGGTGTGATAATATGCATGTAAATCAGGCAGTGAGAGACGGAAGGAACAGAAATGATGTTTGTCTGGAGATCAGCATGAAGAAATCAACATCACTGATTGTAACCGTAGGCCTAATGTTACATCCACCAGTGTGGCTTATCAATCATGGTGACAGCGCTGACCCCTGCATCTCTACAGCTCCTGACCGTACTGACTACAGCGCTGGCCAGACCAGCCCATCTAATGTGCTTCAAGGGCATAACCATAACCATGTTGGAGAAAAACCTGCAGCTGAGTTCTTGATTGTGATGATTTAGACAGTGAGATATCACTGAGGACACACTAACTAACACATAAGCAGACATCAAAGTCTGTTAGCACAATTAGCACACATTAAAGTACAGAGGCTTGGCATAAAGCTTAACGAAGCAAGCAGTGTCAAACACGAAGCAAACCCGAGCAAAGCGATAAAACAACGAACAGCGTGTATGTGACCGTGAGCTGAAGGCTGTCTCGCGGTCATCGCCATGAGCCTTTTAAAGCCAGAGCTCCTCCCATTTCAGCATGTTACCGTCATCGATTGGCCTAGCAGTTATGCTGAATGACTTTCAGTCCACCGTCAGAAAGGGACTGGGGAGAAAGGGAGAGAGAGAGAGAGAGAGAGAGAGAGAGAGAGAGAGAGAGGGAGTTGGTTGAAAGAAAATACATGAAAATACACAATGAATTGGTTGAAAGAAAACAGCAAACAGGTTGTTAGAATTCAGGTGAATGTGAAAGTTGTAAAGTCTGAGCTGGACTAGGCTCAGCACAGACAGTGATGGCTCCTGGATCGGCAGTGGAGGCAGAGGTGATAGTAAACCCCCCAGACGCTTGTCCCTGACCACTTGGTTGTCAGTGATATAGCCTAAGTAGTGTGTTGGAAAAGCCATTTCCCCACAGGTGGTTATCAAGGAAACATCTCAGAACCTTGAAAACCTTATTACCTCTTTATCCAGCATGTCCCAGAATACATCACTGATGAGGGCCTAGAGCACAGTGGGGGTGCTAACCAGTCCATAAGGCATTACAAGGTACTCATATTGCCCTCTGTCTTCTATTCATTAGCTTTGTGTATGTGGATACAATTTTATGCACTATGGAGTTCAAGTTTGGTGACGCAATGGGAGATGTTCAATGGCTGAGGGCGCCAAAAGGAACACAGACTATTATTTGAGTATATGTTTACTGAGTCCTCTTTGGAAGTGAGTGCACAATACGAGTGCAGCAGTGGTGCAGCTCATATGTAGCGGCTGGTTTATTAAAGCATACACAAATGAAACATACTAAATCAGAGCAAGAACCATAAGTAAGAGCTGTGAATCTGTGGCATGAAAACACAAAAATACTACACAAGATAACAGGCTGAACATGACAAAAGCTTGACTACTGATCACACAGAAAACAACTTATATAGTGTTACTAATTAGGGAAACACAAAACAGGTGCGAGTAATCACTGAGACATGTAACCAGGTCATTTGATTTGAGTCCTTGTCGGCCATTTTGTAGCTGAAACCAGTGCTGACGTGACAAGTGTTTTCTTACCCATTAAAGCATTGCTTAAGTGTTGGTTTCATTGTTGAGCAAAGTGCGCAAAGTTAGTCATCTCCTCATTAAACATGCTTAGGCCTCATGTCAGCTCTTGTACAGTATATATTATCATGGTAGGTATTATTATTAGTATGTTATCATTTGGAAGTTAAGGGTATGCAAACTTTTGCACTGTAGGCTGTACAGCAGCATTTAATGTTTAAATGACGATAGATGGATCAGTTACTATCTTCTTGATAAATCTGGATTCTTGATCTTCAGCAGATGTTTGTGTAGCCTGAGTGGAGGATGTGGTGAGTTTAGGAGGTGAGTGTAGAGATGTGTAGATGTAGCGGTAGCGTGAGTGGTGAGATAAGATAAGATGAGCTAATAAACCCAGACTCAAGCAAGTGTGATCTTAGATATAGGAGAGAGCAGAGCCTCACACGCCTGCTGAGAACATGAAGACGAGTCGTGTGTTTTTGGTCCTGGGCTTCGTCCTGATCATGGCGCTCTACTCAGACGCTGGGCGTGAGTTTATTACACACTTTTTGTACAACATAGGATACAACTTAACACAAGAATAACTGTTAATTACTCTAAGTGGAACACTTTAGTGTGCATGTAGTGTGTGTTACTGGACCTATTTTTTGGAACCACCTTTTAGGTGTAAAGTCTGAGTTTAAGTTCCTCTCTTTTTTTTTTTTTATACCACGCACAATATTCATTAAGTTGAATTCGATTTGCTTTGTATAGCGTGTTGAACAGCAGACACTGTCACAGACTGTAATCCTACTAATAATAATATTAGTAATCTAATAATGTTTATTAAAATGTACTAAACCATACTTATAATTGTTATTGTATTAATATTTATTATATTACTTTATAATCAATAGTACAAATTATATCTGTTCTTTTTTTGTATTCCTTTGCAATTAATAATATGTTAACGCAAAAATGTAATTATTTTTAATAGGTTACACAAAATTACAAAAAAAAAAAAATCTAATCATATTTATCTCTTTAGTCTATATAGTTATTTATTCATTGTTTTGGTTTGTATATATTTACTTGTGAATAATAAACATTTGTATTAATATGACAATATTAAACATATTAATTATAAATATATACAAAAAAGAATAGGTGAATATGTATGTGAATAGTTAAAATATCTATAGCTATAATTATTAATCATTTAATTAATTATTTTATTACTATTAATGACAATAACAACAATTAGAAAAACTGTTAAATAGTTTTAATAACCATTATTATATTATTGATATTACTATTGTTAGGTTTGCAATTTTTTTTTAACACATAAACATCTCCAAAATGAATGATCTGAAGGATGAATCAATTCAAAAACTATAAAAAGTTTTTTTTTAAATGTATATATCAATGATATATAGAAAGTATAAAATGACAAATGTGTTTATTATTTCTTATAGTTTCTACTTAGTGTTTGCTTTTTAACAAAGCCATTGTGTTAATGCACGTTTATGCAGTAATTACAGTGTAAGCTGAAAGAGCTCGTCTGTCTCTCTTACTCAGCAAAAAACCTAGATATTGGCCCGTGCTGTTTCAAATTCTTCCATGGCAAAATTCCTCATCAACATGTCCTGAAGGTGGAAAAAATCGATTCACGCTGTTCACGGCGAGGCTTCATGTGAGCATCTGCCTCTACACATTAAACACATGCATTACAGTTTTATTATACAATAATAACAAGGTAAATTTTATATTAAACTCATTTCACTCCCGAATGATCTGTTCTAAAACTCTGTTGATGTGTGTGTTTATCTGTGTGTGTATTTCAGTGTTACCACACCTAAGTTCTCTAACCTGTGCGTTTGTACAGACCCCCGGTAAGGAAATTCAACTTTAATGCTGCATCTTTGATGGAACACAAATTTTACGCAACTGTTAATTCACTGCATAATTTCGATGTTATTAATCTGTAATGCGGTGAATCAGAAATGCATACTGATTAAACGATTGCCCTGATAAAACTGATTTAACATGATTTCATAACAGCAAAAAGTTATTAAGTAAGGAATAAAACACACTGCGTCATTCTGTTTTCGGAAAAATAATCAACAACTGCATGGTGCGTTGAGGCAGAATTACTGTTAACGCCCTGTTAAATCACACTGCAGACGCTAAATGAATCGATTTGCATTGACTCCGCCTCCACCCTGTATTTTGCACCTTTAGGTAGATCATATATTCTGATGTGTGACCTTTGACCCATCACATAAGTGCAGTCAGAGTGATATGGAGTCGCCGCTCTCTTTACTGCGAAAACATATTAAAAATAAATAAGCAGCACTATGGATTAGACTTGATATGAATAAAATGACAAAATAATCACTAAGTTAAAATGTTAAATGCACTTTTAGAATTATGTAGTCATTAAAGCATTAAGCTTTAAGCATCATGGGTTTTCCGGACAAAATTCCCACAAGGTTGACAAAGGTACGATCGAGCTGTCCAGCACCAGGCTTCACGACTCTGTCCTTATCCATACACGCCTGTATAGCTACTGTTTTATTATCGAGTGTAGTATAAACTCATTTATCCTATCCAGCGTAGTCCTGATTTATGAGCAGTGATGTAACAGTGGGTGAGTGTGTGTTTATGTGTGTGTTTCAGTGACGAATCAACAAAAGGTAGCCTGAACGACTGCCGGAATGAAGACGACACACCAGGACAATGTGCACAAATTACACGCTGACGTGAAATCCGTGTGCTAATT